GACCACACAGAAAGCCACACCATCTTCGTCTTAATAATTCGGTTTATTTATAATTTTTATCCTTAACCTCATTATTTTCTCGATGGTAAGAAATCCAAGATGGTGTGGTCTTTTGTGTAGTCGCAGTCTCCTTTCATTGTATAGAAGTTGTTTGACCTTGTTTTCGCAACTTGGTCATATTAGTAGGAAGACTTAGACGAACGCATCTAGTTAGGAGTCCATTGTAGGCATTAGCATTTCCAGAGTAGGGCCGCGGACGTGGTACATGGTATTAGGGATAGAGATAGGATAAACGAGGCGTTAATTAGAGCTAGTTGGCTGACAGTAGGTTTTACAAGAGACGTGGTCCATGTAACAAAGGCATGGCCATGAGACTTAGGTTTTAGACTCTAATCAATCACCCAGGTGCAGGGGATGGACTAATTATACTCGATTGTTATAGATGGGGGGCAGGGGTCGAGTGAAATACATGTACTAGGAAGATAGCAGATGGATTCGACGGGTGAAGAGGGAGACTTTGATAGCATCCAGGGAAGGACTACGTAACAATATGACAGACTCTGGTCAACATTCCCAGCACGAGGGTGAAGGGGGTAATAATGGCAGTGTGGAGTGTGAAGGGTTTTCATGAATGCCGCTCGAAGAAGCAAACCACACTACAGTAAAAATAAGCACGGTAAAAATTTTGACAGTGAAGGCATGATTGGACGATATAGGAAATGTGAATAGCCCAGGGAAGAAGGGGAGATTCCACAAATGTCTAGCACACGTTTGGTCAAAGGATGGGCTTCATTTGTCTTTTTGACGAGTTGTAATATGTTGCTACGAATGGCGATACTCCTGACGAGGCCGGCGAAACGTCTGGGAATGTACTACGTCGACGGTCCTACTCTTGAAATGATGATGCATACAATGGACTCCGGACTAGGTGCGTTCCTCTAAGTCTTTCTACCAATATGACCGAGTTGCCAAAACAAGGTCAAACAACTTCTCACTATTTTCTGTTTGATTTGTTGTGATTTGTCTTCCAAACTTATAACCATTTGCTTACTTTTATTCAAAGCTTACTGTTTTTATATATTCTAAATGGCATGTTCACTTATGTTTTTCCCTTAATTAAAATCCTATCCACTCTTCAGTTGGCCATTCAATTGTACGGTCTCATTCTCTTGAATTCGACTTCTCGGGGCCTAGCTCTCCAATTACTCATAGAGCCCTTCTTAACCACGGTCACGGCTAAGACTACCTCCCCTGCGTCCCTTAGTTCGGACCACCTTTTGCTCCGTCTAGTTCGTATGGCTAGCCATCCTCTCCTCCATGGGCTTGCACTTGATGCTCTTCTTGAATTGATGCAGCGTATTGGCCGCCTTGGCTCAGCGGAAATCACACAGGTCTGATTTAAATTAATCTACATTTTATTAATTGCTATTCTTTAGTTTATTTTAAAGTTTTTGCCTGAATTTTTTTAATCATTCGCATATATATCCATTTTAATAGAAATAACATGTTTGGTGTTGCATTGTTTCTTTTTTGTGTTGTGAATCAAATGCAATCGAGTTATGCTCAGAGGTGTTCACATTTAACTTATTTTTAGGGACCAAACTACTGGTATACACTGATTATCCTACATATTTTCGCTCACTGATAGGTCCCACCTCTTTCAATGTAACCCAAGAACATATTCAGCGCTGCCCGAAG